GCTTTCCTTTCTCCTCTAACAGATCCCTGCCAAATGAGCGAACCAGGAAGAACTCTCACAGAGCTTCGATCTCTAGAGCTGTGAGAACTCAGTTTATGCTGTTTGAAGATCCAGATAAATGGTGTCTTGTTACGGTGCCCTGACCTGATTCCTCTGCATTGGGCAGAGGAACCGAAGCTTCTGCGTATTTAGCAAATCCTACGATCATGCTGATAATACAGTTTTTGGACTAGAATTAGAATTTCAAATATGTAGGTTTGTTTTTATGCAAAGACTGTACAGATTCTTTTCGTTTATAAGCATATGTGTTTCTGATTCTTGAATTTCATTGCATATTGATAGACAATGGCATATTTATCAAGCACTAAATACCTTTATATGATTTTCTTAAGCTGTCTGACTTTTTCTATTGGTTCACAGTAAAGTCTTGTGACACACCACAATAAAACCAATGTGGTACTGCATGGTATTTTCATATTTAGCTAAAAACATGTTTTTTTAGTAGCATGTCAGTTCCCACCAAACATAGATCTTTTGTAAATTGGAATTGTATTCACTCTAGTTAATTTAGTAAGAAGTAAGCAAGTGAAAAGTAATTATCTGTAAAATGGACTGTATCTAGCCTGGGAGAAGAGATTTTTTTTTTTTACTTTTACTTTTCCATAGTTTTGTTTATACCCCTGTTATTGACTGAATACTTGTGTTCTTCTGAAACTCACACATCGGAATCCTAACTTCCCCCTGATATTTGGGAGTGGAACTTTACAGAAGGAACTCAGTTGAGATGAGGTCAAAATACAGGCCCTCATGATGAAAATGCTGTGCTTCTGAGGAGAGGAGGAGCTCTCTCTCTCATAGCCTTCCCTGACTCCACCTTTGCCTGGACAGGGCACATACACAAGGAACCATTTTCCAGATGGAAGAGGGACCTTGTTAGGAGCCAAATCCACAAGCACTTCGATCTCAGACAAACTGAAGTAGAAATAATTCATTCAGACAAAGGAAATAATTAGTTGGCATGGAGATATTTGATTCAGCTGAACTACCATATCCTTTTAAACAATGTTACTATTATATTTTAAGGTTTATTCATCAGAACTGATGTGTTTTTATAGCAGGCTAATCCTCCCCTGTGAGCTCTAGCAACCCACATGAGTTCCAGTTTGTGTCTGGGATGCTCCACTTCCAATCAAATTCCTTGCTTATAACCTTGGAAATAGTGGTGGAGGACAGCCCAAGGCCTTGAGCCCCTGAACCTGCATGGGAGAACCAGAAGAAGCTCCTGGCTTACACTTTTACATCAGCTCAGCTCTGTCCATTGCAGCTATTAGTGAAGTAATTAATGGATAGAAAACCTCTCTCTCTCTCCTACTTTCTCTGCTAAATTTGTCTTTCAACTAAAAATATATGTCATGTTTTAAAAAGACTTATTTATTAATTTGAATGGCAGAGCAACACAGAGAGTGGAAAGCACAGAGAGAACGCTTCCACTCACTTGTTTCTTTCTCAGCTTCTTCCTAGCGCCAGATCTGGGTCATGCCAACGCTAAGAACATGAAACACAGTCTGTGTCTCTCACATGAGTGGCAGGAGCCCCAGCACTTGGCCATCTTCCGCAACCTCCCCAGGCATCTTAACAGGAAGCTGAACTAGAAACAGGATCTTTAACACTCAAGCCAGGACACTTAACATGTGATGCTGGCATCACACGATGAGGCTTAACTGGCTGCTTTCCATTAGCAATATATATATTTTTAAAGATTTATTTATTTATTGGAAAGTCAGATACACAGAGAGGAAGATCTTCCGTCCGATGATTCACTCCCCAAGTCGGCTGATGCTATGCCGATCCGAAGCCAGGATCCAGGAACTTTTTCGGGGTCTCCTACATGGGTACAGGGTCCCAAAGCTTTGGGCCATCCTCGACTGCTTTCCCAAATCACAAGCAGGGAGCTGGATGGGAAGTGGAGCTGCCGGGATTAGAACTGGTGCCCATATGGATCCCGGCACGTGAAAGGCGAGGACTTTAGCCGCTAGGCCACGCAGCCAGGCAAAATTAGCAATAGTTTAACTATTTTTGAGCACATAGAGGAACACATTTATGGTAATATAAAATCCTCAACAGAAAATTTGTTTCTTAGAGCAAAGGAGGAATCTGGGCCAATTTATGTCTTTCTTTGCATGGGTGTGTTCTTCCATTTACTTCCAATTCAATATTGTAGAGTTTTGGGTGTATTATTAGACCATAAATATATTTTTCTTTATTTTTAATTAATGCTTCCTCTGGATTTTAAATTTTCTACACTGTCATTTGCTTCTCTGTGATCTTAAGTAACATGTTGACATCAATGTTATTATAGGCAAAAATCAGGAGTGTATGATTGTCACACCACAAAAACTCATTCCAAGCTGTTATGAGAATGCTTGAAAACCCTGATTGGATTGGAAGGAGACTAACCTTTTTCTTAGTGAAATAAGTTCATTATAACAAAGGGATCACTTCCCTAAGCTAAATGTGGGAAGAATATATAAAGTTTATGATCAGAGAAAAACCGGGAAAGGCTTGCTGTAAATGATGATGTGTCTTCCGAGAAAATATTGTATTTAAAAAAATCCTATGAAATTTAGATAAGTGGATGGTGTATTTAATTTTCACTTTTTTTTTTTTCACCACAAAACGCACTCTCTACCATTGAATTACAAGTGTTTTTGGAGGCTGATTCACCTTATTTCTGTGCTCATGGAAGGGCCCAGTTAAAAAAAATACAAGCATAAAGAGGCAAGTGCCAGTCTAACTTAGAACATTCATAGTAAGTGCTGGGGTAGCTCAATGATTTTGTATTGACATAAGATACATTTATGAATTACATCAGGATATTCAATAAATAGAGCAACATAGAGCTGTTACTGCTATTTCTGGATCTTTGCATTTCCTTATTCATAATAATGTGGATTTTCATCTTAAGTTTTAAAAATGATTTTAATCTTGCAACTATTGAAATGAGCGCAAGCTAATGTCTAAAGTTACTTGAAAGTGTGTAAGTTCTTTTCAATTCAAAACAGTAAGATGAGAACTAAAGAAATTTTTCTGGAGCCTGTTTAGGCACCAATCTCCAAAGATATCATAGGCTTCATACTAAATGTTTCTAGAGAAGAAATTATTCTGTAAACGGGCAGTTGCAGAATGAGAATTAAGGACTGAAAAGATAGTTTCTCACACTGATGGTTCCCAATCTTTATTTTATGAAAAGAGAGAAAAGAAAACATGTTTAAAAGAAAATAAGGGAAAGGAAAGAAAGTGACAGAAATAGAACAAGGGACATGATGGGGCAGATGGAGAACAATATCATATGTTTCCTGAAGTTGAAATATTTAAAGAATCTCCCACCGCTTATAGATATAATCTTTTTTAGTCATTTGGAATAATTTGTGGTTCTATGGTTAATACTGTGCTTGTTTTACATGTGGCAACTATGCCAGTCTTTTCCCACTCTGCTTGGATTATTCAGGTACACAAAATCAACATAACTAACAGACAATTTTTATGGCTAAAGATAAGGCCTGTTAGGTACACAGTGACTTTGGATCTTAACTCTAATGACACAATGAGTTTAGGGCTGGAAGCAACTCTGTTTATGCATCTGGGTTTGTTTTTTTCTCAGATGTAAATAAAGGGGTTCATATGCTAGAGGCAGTCAAGTTCTTTACTGTACAAAATACAGAACACACGGCTTGCCCCACTCCCATTAAAATTCATTGTGTAGTGGCTGATGCTGGATTATAGGTAGAAATTGAGTCACTTTTCTGAAATTCATTGATGTCATAGGATATTTCAAAGATAGAAAGAGAAAGAGAGAAAGAATAGAAGCGAACAGAGGGGAGGAGAAGGGATCAGAGGTGGGGAGAAAGGAGAAACATTCAGGTAGGGAGAAGAAAGGGATGTAGTTTATCCTCTTTCCCAGTTATGTTTCTCTTCCTTCTTTTCCTCCATCTAATTTTTCAGAATACCAAATAATAACAAACCCAGGATCTGCCCCAGTCGCAAAGCAGATGCACAAACACCTGTTAAAAAAAAAAGTAATGAGCTCCAGTAGTACAATTTCAAGCATGTGAAACTAGAAAATCTTGTATTAATGTAATGTGCTGATTTTATTCTCTCCAGATACTTACAAGTTAAAGAAATAAATTTTATAAACCATATGTTTTGTTTGGCATTCTATAATTAGGAAGGTGAACTTAAATGTATTATTTTTAAGGTCTGTTGATACATAGTGGGAAAAATCTACAGGTCACTGGCAAATTACCTGAGTATTTTTCCCCTCTCAAAATGGTATTTTGAAATTAAGAAACAATGTATTTCTTATTGATGCTTTTACCATAATATATTAAAATGTCTAGTTTTTACTCCGATGAGAAAAGTTTGGGTTTAAAACTAGTGAATTGATCAATACATGTAAGAACTTGTTAAAACACATGCATTTACACCTGAATATAAAGGTAGTTTGTGAGTTTGAGAAATAAATGTATTTGGTTAAAAAAAATGTTTTGAATAATCTGATTTGTATGCATGTATGATTCTGATATGCATTTTTCCAAGATCCGCTGGAAGACCCTCAATCCATTTCTTCACATATATGTAAAACACACACACACATAGAAGTTATGCTAAATAATGTCATATGTATGTACTGATCCAGTAGAAATTAAGGAAAGCATGAAGAAAGTCTTTGCAAAATGTAAGAAAGACCGTGTTTTAAATAATCTTAGCAGCCAGGGTATAGGAGGAGTCAGATGCAGTATTTATTTTATAGCTTATTTTAACTTAAAAAAGGCACACTCCGAGTGAGGCCTTTGTTTCTCATACGTGTATGCTGGGCATGTTCTTTCCAAGTGGGCCAGTTTTGTTCTCATGCCATGGGAGCAGGTGGCATGAAGCTGTTTTGATGAGGTTAAAAGGCTCCTCCCCTCTCTCCCCAAGCAGCAGCCCCGAAGTACGTCAGCAGTAATTGTGTGCATGGCTCGGCTGTGCAGGGAGAGTGGAGGCAAAACTGATACCAAATGAGGGTATCAAACTGAGATCTGGATGTTCTGTTTAAGTTGCCGCTCCTTCTCATTAGCCCCACCAGGGGTGAAGAGCTTGTAAATGAAACATCCTCTTTAAAAAGAGCATTTGTTTCTGGATGGATTTTAAATTTTCCTCCTCATGAAGCCTGAATGAGTGCTGTAGTGGATATAAATGAAGGGGGGTTTCATTATGCTTTTTTTATTATTTACTAATCAGACTTCCGCTCAATCAGATAAAAGAGAGAGGTTCTGTTGCCTAGAAGTCAGACCGTTAATGAGGATTGGAGCCCCCCGGGGGCTGAAATCCAAAGTAGAACGATGCTGCTTTCCGGTTTCTTGCCATTTCTTCAGTTGCTTCTTCTCCCTTTTCCAATGGGCCTAGGGAGCGGGAACTATCCAAGGTGCTAGAAGGCTGACAGCTTTGACTTTCGCTGCAGACGGATTGCAGAAGCAGTGGCTAAAGATTACTGCTTATTTCAGAAGGTAGGTTCTTTGTTTCAGAATCCCTGATTAATCAGCAGCAGCAGCAACAGACTAAGGCATCTGGAGAGGAGAGAAGCAGAAAGGGAGGGAGCCAGGGCAGGGAGGGGGGAGGGAGCGGAGAGAGAGAGAGAGAGAATGGGAAGGAGAGAGAGAGAGCGAGAGAGCAAGCAAGAGAGAGCTGGTTGTCACGGGGGAGGGACGATGCCACAAGCCAGGCTGCTCTAAGCTTTCTGCATGTAAGTGGCAATGAGAAAAAGCATCTTTTTGGCTGAACGGAGACCTTTAGAGACGATGTTTCTAATTTTTTGTTTCCATTTATTTTTGCCTTCACAGAATATAATCAAATGAGGTACCTTAGCCAGCCTGGTGACTGCTTTGGGTCTTGTAATCATCTGTGTAGCAAAGAAATGGGTAAAATCATTCAATTTCTTGTCTGCTAGACCTGGAAGGAAAGGAACTGTGTGTTCATCCCCACCCATTAGCTATGCCCTCCTTTCTCCGAATGTCAATTGAAAGAAGCAAGCACCTGTCTTCTGCCACTGCATCCTCCTAGCAAACTTTAAAGGCCATTTTCTCTGGTAGAAAGAACATCGAGAATCCTTCAGTGTCTAGTGATGAAGAATCTGGGAGTGGACACTTTTCTCATCCAGAAACAATGCACTTTATTTGAAGAAAAACTGAGCTGAACTACAAGTCTATTTCTTATGGTGCTGGATTACTCCTAACGAACTGCCCTGAGATCAACCTTGACAGACTCAAGTCACCGTCTGATTGTTGCACTTAGCTCTCCCTGGGGACTCATATTTTGGTATGTATCTCCTTTTTCTCTAAGCATGCTACTTGAATCCAGCACTAAAGAGATCAAACAATCTGGTTATGAAATGGAATGAATTTTAGTTAAGAATACTTAATGCTGAAGTTCGCATGTCTTATCAGGTGGTGCTGAAATGAAACCACAGAGAAGGCATCCAATGCCTTAGTGAGCTTCAGGCTATTTTTACTCCCTCATCCACTTAGTTACATTACCATGGAAATGGTTAAACTAGATTTTCATTAGTAAAATAAGGCATGTTGAATTATTAAAAGCATCGAAAATATTTTTCAAGGACATTAATTGGCATTCAAGTTGTGCATGCTTGCTGATTTTCCACTATTTCATACCATAAATATTTTACAGGTCTCTTAGCACATTGTGTCAGCAGTAACAGTTCAATTCTGCATTAGCAAAGACACACTCCACAGTACATCCAGAAGTGTAAGCCATGTATCTAAGCTAAAATTTCTTTTCCCCAACTAATTAGAGATCAACCTCCTTGTATTGGTATCATTTTATTAGTTCCATTACAATGGAATTTTTCCATATAACTTTAGGCAGACTTATTTTACTTGGAACATGGGCTTCATTTGTTGTGCTGTTTCTATTCAAATTTTTCCAAGTATCTAGAAATGTTTTAACTATAGGAAATGTAAATATTTCCTGCTTGGGAGACCTGTTATTTGAAATGATACCATTCATTCTCATGAGTAAATGCTGAAGTTATTTTGTTAACAGAGAATTTATGTTTTTCCCTATATGTGACAACAGCAATATATAAGGAAATTCAATTGAAATTATATGATAGAGCTAACGTCATTTCTAACATGAAAAATATAACTAAACTACTGAGAAGCAGCAAATACAAAGCAAGAGAAAAATTAAATTTTAATTTTCACATTTCAGATAGTATTACAACTTATTTTGTATATTTCCAAGTGAAGTACACCAATTAAAAAGAAAACATAAGCTACAAATGTGGAAATTATTTTGTGCTTCTGTGGAAAGCATAACATATGTTAGCTACCTAATTAAAGGGGGGACTGCAAGGGACTCTGTGAAAGACATTTACAATTCAGAAAATTAGTGAGTAGACCTGAAGAAATAACTTTCTAAGTGACCACATGTAAGTCTTAAAACTTGAAGCACCTGTAAAGTTTAGAGGGCAAAAGCATGTAAAAATTCTACAGACAAGATTGGCTATTGTTTCAAATAAATAAAAATAAATCATGGACTTGCAGACTAATTAGATACTTTCTATTGAGGCTCCAGTTAACAATTTGTTAAATGGAGTACATCTGTGTTTTAGATACGGCCCCGTAAGTGTCTAGATCCATTTGGTTCAAGGCCCTAAGAAGCAGCTTGGTCACTCGTAATTTGTGTGATTTTTCTGGTATGAATAGAAAGTCCACTCTTTTTGGATCATGGGCAAAGAGCACGTGACAAGTCAAAAGTTGGGTGGGGTGCATCTGATTTATGCTGCTAGTGCACCAGTGACATCTGCATCCACTTTATCGTTGAAGAAGGGAGGTGGTGCAGAAAAGCTTACTGCCAAGTAATCTGTTGCCAAAGAAAAAAGCAATCAGTGTCTTTGTAGTCACTTAAGCTTTCCTGGTTATAACTTCACATTTCCCTTTTTGGCCAGAACAACTGCATTTTCATGACATTGAAACTGAGAAAATGATCATGACCGTTTGTGAGGCTAGGTCTCAATTTTAAGCAGAACCAATGTGAAACTATACAACTAGCCATTGATAGTCTGTAAGATTTTCATCTGAAAAGCAAGTTTGATAGAATTTACCTTATAATCAGGTAGTCCATTCTGTTGATTCAATCCTATATGAAGTCATTGGCTTTTAAATATTAATTTACATACATATTTTACCCACATATATGAAGTTTGATTATTTAAATATGTATATATATGCAAGTATAATATTTTTAAGGTCAGCCTGTACAACAATAAAAGTAGCTAAAAGTAGCTTGGAAACTTGTGTTGGATCAATACTACTGGGCAAAATAGAACATGCAACCTTTGGAATGGCTAGAGAAATCAAATTTTAATAATTCAATTTCTAGTAAATTCTTTATGGCATTGAAACATTTTGCACTTTTGCAATTCTCAGTAATATGTTAAACACGGAGTCTTGAAAACCTTTACATCTTTAAATGTAAATTAAAGATACCATGTTTTACTGCTCTGCTTACCTGAAATAATCATAATAGTATAATTAAATAAACTTTATATTACTATAGTTGAAACAACATCATGGGAAGTAACTGTGATCTAACATTTAGGGGGCATGTTATGGAACTTCAGGTATCAAAGAACAACGATCCTGTCATACCAAGCCCAGAGTCATGGGTAGACCAAAATTTTATATCTTGGAAAGCAAAGTTTCAGATAGAGAATAGCACCATTTTGGAAATTCTAGGTGAATAGTTTATGAAGCGGCAAATGAACTGGTGCCCAAAGGAGCTAGTGGGTTGATTCAATTATTATTGTCATTGAAACTCTGCTGTGTGAGTAAACAGATCTACATAGTCTGATGAAGGGTGTTGCTTGACACTTCCATGTATGCATGTACCCAATCAGTCCTGGCTAACCTAAAGCGGTTGATATCACAGTTCCTGAAATTAAACACATGACAATATTCATTATGACTCTTAAGAGGAGCTCTGAAACATGTAAGAAAAGACTAGCACATTCAAATATCAGTGTGACTCCTTTTGAACTTCTGTTCCACAATCGTCATCGCATCATAGGGGACTCAATGTTGACACTAATTGGTGCTGTATTAAATATCACTTAGTAAACTGAGTACTGATACCTAGGTTTACAGAGTAATCCAAATTACTTTATATACAATTGTTTCTTGAAAATACTCCCCCATTTTGTTTTTCTTTCTTTCTTTTCTTTTTTGTTCTTTTTAGCTTTAGTACTAAGGGTAAAATAGTGTATTAACTTCCTGTGATCCCTAGTTGGAAGAAATCATTGTAAGAAAAAAAAAATTAAAGGAAAGTGGTTTTCATATCCCTTTTAATGTTTTCATGAATTGCATTTGAATATATTTAATTTATAGTCCATGTTGGTATGTATTAAATCAATTTATATCAGTGAAAACAATTATGAAGAAATGCAGTGTTACTCTTAGCTCTAGGTTCAGTAGGGTGGCTTTGCACAAAAGAAATTATGAAATGCTTTGCTCCATAAAAACACAAATGATTAATGCTTTGAATGTTTATACAGTAAAAGATTTCAACAGCTTAAACTGGTACATCTGAGTCTAGTGAAATTTCAAATATAGGAAAGTGTCATGATTTTAATAAAGTCATCTTTGTGAAGGGTGTGGTCAACTTGTTAAAAGCAGCAAAGTGTAAAGAAAGTAAGGTGAAACTGAACAATTTGAAGTCCAATTTTACTTAAACCAATGTCTGCGTCTTTATTGGAATGACCAATATTCTATGTAGGGTAATTTAAATATTTAACAAAAGGAATTTCTTGTGAATGCAGGATAAAGGATTGGAGGAAGAATATGCTGTGAGGATGTGACGGAACCTGTGTGTTGTGGAGACACTCTAACCGTGGACATTTTATGTTTATTTTTTAAAAGCATAAATATAAAATGTTCACAAATTCCAACACAGACATCTTGCCCCATTTGAGTTAATACCGTATATTCCCAAGACAGGCTTGGATTTTTTTTTTAAATGGCAATTTTCAGCCAATACTCTGGAAGAGTAAGTAGTTGGGACCTCAAATGTCAATTTGTTTTGATTAAAACCAATTATAGACAACATAGGTTCAATTTAGGTGTTTGGCTGGAAAAGCAAAGTTCTTCCTACAGCTTGCTTATTCCTTTATCTCAAGTATCTTTTTACGTACTATATATGTATAAGCCTAGTATGGTGGACTGCCATCGTTATTTTGATATTCATAAGAATAAAAATGCTACTGGGAGAGAGACACTTCTTTGCCTCTGAACAAACCGAGTCTTCTCAAGTACTGAGTTAGGTAGTCAGGACAGCTGTTACACAATTCTTCTATGTGGAATTGCTACAACAGGGCTAGAAATGTGTTTGATTTAATGCACAATATTCAAAATGCAGTTTCCACCATTCAGTTTTGCATGGATAGGACTTTCCTCCTTCCTTCCCTCTCCATGCTTCCCTTCCCATTGTCCACTGTATTGTAAAATAATACAGTCCTTCGGCTGTGGTTTTGACTCCAGCTTTCTGCTCTTTACACGTGTCATGACTTTGTAGCTATAAGCAACGGTAGAGAGTCTAGTAGGTTGTTGGCAAGGTCTATTTAAGAGTTTTATTGGGGGTGTAGAGATGCATGCTGCATCTCTCTGTTTCCTGGAACTCTTGTCTCCATTCATTTATAATTCAATTGCCTCATAAGCTGTCTTGGCTTGGAAAGGTTAAACCTGAGCATTTGAAACATAGCACAACCTTCATGGTCTACATGTCACAATGCCCTTGAGTTCTGCATGTGAACAATGAAGAAGTGGCCTGTTCAAAGCTATGTCATTGATGAGGAAAGGTATTAACTTGTATGTTGGCCACAATGTGTACGTATGTGACAAAAATTTGAATACTAATCTGCTCATCTACAGTAAAATATGTTTTATATTAAGTAAAACTATGCTCAATGTAAAATTTTACTTGTCAAGGCATAATGTAACTAAGCTCATAATACTAAGCTCATAGCTTAGTATTGTAAAAAAAAAATTAAAAGTAGTCACATTGAGCTCAATGGCTAAATCCTCACCTTGCAAGCACTGGCATCTCATATGGACACCAGTTCATATCTCAGCTGCTCCACTTCTGTTCCAGCTGCCTGCTTATGGCCTAGGAAAGCAGTGAAAGACTGCCCAAAGTCTTGGGATCCTGCACCCATGTGGGAGACCTGGATGAAACTCCTGGCTCCTGACTTTAGATAAGCTCACCCCTGGGTGTTGTGGTCATTTGGGGAGTGAACCAGCAGA